AGGCGGCGCCCAGGATGGTGCGCACCGAGGCGGGCCACTGGACGGCCACGAGCCGGTGCTCGCCCAGCAGGATGTGGCGCACGTTCTCCACCCCCATCACGCGCACGGTGGGCCGCCCGAAGAGGTGCGTCTTGTAGATGAAGCCGTACTTCTGGCGCTTCATCTGCAGGAACTTCCGCCGCTGCCGAGGGGAGAGAGAGGGGCACCGTCAGCGCCTGCCCTGCCGCCGCCCCAGCCGCCCCGGCCCCGCCGCTCCCCCGGCCCCTTCCCTTTACCTGCAAGACCAGCTGCAGCGTCTCGCCGAAGAAGGGCAGGCCCATGGTGCCGGGCGGCAGGGGCAGGGGGCAGCCGCCGTCCCGGCCGCGCACGCAGTAGAGCTCCCAGAGCTTGACGGCGGCCAGGAAGAGCAGCAGGGGCAGCAGGAAGGTGACGGCGGCGCTGGCCAGCAAGGTCGAGGAGAAGCCCATGGCCCCGCCGGGCGGCTCGGGGGGTGTGCGTGTGGGGGGGTGCTGGGGGGCACCTGCCTGCCTGCCTGCCTGCCTGCCTTCCCGCGCCCTGCCCAGCCAGCAGAAGGGCCTGGCCCCGCGGCCGGGCCCCCCTTTTATAGCCATCCCTCTCCCCGCCGCCCCACCAGGTCGCTGCCCACTTTACCTTCGTCCCGGCGATCAATTAGTTCACCCAAAGTTCAGCCTTAATTGCCGCCGGGGGCGCAGAGGCGCCGCCCATTCTGCCACCACCACCACCCGCCCCGTGGCCGGGCTGCGCCCTCCCGTCCCCGCCCCTTCGCAGGCTCGGCGGTGGAAACAGACCTCGGGACGCCGAGCCGGCCGACGGAGGTGCCGCTTTCAGCCCAGCCGGGGCCACCGGAGACCGGGACGGCAACAGGCGCCACTGGGGTGCCCCCGCAGCCTCCCCGAGACGGAAGCCTGTTTTCGGGTTCCCCCAAAGGCGCCGGCCGGAGGCTGGTCGAGGCGGCTGAGGTCAAAGGCACCGACTCCCGCGGAAGGGCGCGGAGGGAGCGCGGCCGGGCGCTGCTGGGGAGACCCTCCTCCTCCACCCCGGGCCCGCCTCCGCCGGACGCGCCGAAGGTTGAAGGCGCAGGGAACTCTGCTCCGGAGCGGCTGGGTCAGAGGCACA